ATTATTCCCAAATCATGATGTCACCACAACCATGTTTCACTGAGGGTTCTGATCTGATCAGTCCTTCTTCTAAGATCACAGTTTTTCCTACATGGAAAACAGCTGTGTGCAACCTTGCTAGTCTTTCATTCAGCAATATTTGTGTTAAAACATGATTAAGTGATGAGATACTGATCAAAGACGTGTTGACCCTGCAACATGGAGACGAGCTTAGATGTATCAGCTAAGGCGTTTTGCTGTTTAGGCTCTGAATCCACAGCGATCAAACTTTTTAGGAGGCCAGAAATCATCTTTTTTTTAAACCAGGTGAAAAGTGGAGAGATTTAAAGACAGCTGTTTCATTGTTTTCATGTGTTATTAGAGCTTTGTGGCTCCCTCAATCTCTCTTTTACTCTTTATTTTATCTTAAATGAATTGTCTTTTTTCCTCTTTTTGGGTTCTTCTCTGCTGCAGTGCCACCAAAGGGCCCAGCATGTACTTCAAGCTTTCTTCAAGTTTTCTAGAAGACGTTTCGCCTCTCTTATCAGAGGCTTCTTCAGTGCTAACTGGTGGTGGGGAGCACTGATATTAATATATTTTAGGGAAACAGTTTTTGTCTCAGGGTGTTGCCGGTGTTCTGTAAGATGAGCATACCCGGTCAGACCAGCGTACCCATGGTCAACACTAGGGGTGTAAATAATAATCGTTTTGTATCGATGTATCGATCCAACAGCTGACGATCCGATGCATCGACACGTCCGCAAGAGAATCGATTCATGTTTTTTTTTTTCCTCCGGTCTATTTTTATCCATTTGCTCCTGTGCGTAATTCTCCCTCCCGTGCTGCGGTGGCGCTAAACCTATTTTGCCCTCCTACCTCGCTTCCTGGTTCTACTCTTACAGCAGTGTGTTGCAGTGAGCTTGACACAGACATTTTTGATTTATGCTCAATATTGAAGCGTGGTCTGAGATACACACTGTGGGTCTAGATACGGCCGATGCGGCGAGGAAGTGGGGGCGAGTTTAGTCCGACGACGGAGGGACATGAGGGCCAAAAAGAGCTGAGATCCAGGTGGAAAAAGGGTCCCAGCGTTCTGGCGCACCTCGATCTTCTAGCTGGTCGAACTTCACGAGTTGTTTTCCGCAATTTCAGTCATAAAAACAAAAGAAGCCGGCCTCCTGTCTGCTGCACTGACTGCGGTCAGTTACAATTTGGGAGAGGTGCAGCGGAGCATCTGTGGAGGGGGCGGGGACGTCTGGAGCCCAGGTATTGCATTGCACTCATTGCACTGATTATGTGCAGTATTTTTTGATGCAAGGCCTTTCAGAATCTATAACAAAGGGGTATTATTATTTTTCAGTGAATGAGGTTTTAATAGGAATAGGTGGAGTGCAACTTTTCTACTTCTGTTATTTGCTGTTGTTTCTAAAAAAAATGCATCACAAAATTACAGCTTTCATTGATTTATTTCATATTTGAAACAATGTCTAGCCTGTAAGGTGTAAAAAAAAACGAAAAAAAAACAAAAAACAATCGAATCGTATCGTGGTGTTTTTTTGAGTATCGAAAATAATCAAATCGTTGGGTCAGGAAATCGATACTGAATCGAATCGCCGTGATGGATGTGATTTACACCCATAGTCAATACCCGTTTATCTCTCTAGTTTATCCCTTCAGTTTGCAATGCTAATGGTTGACTTTTGAAACTTCCCTAAATTTCAAGCCAATGACACTTAATGACCTCTCTCATTTCCGAGGATGCCGCTGGAATGCCCTCCATTCTTTTCTGGGTAGTTTTTTGTAAAACATGCGTCCTGTGATGGGCTGGCCTCCTGTACCGGGTGGCTCACGATCACCTCCCTCCATTCCTATTGACACCTATACACCACTTTGTGTTGGTGTGTCACAAAACAGGGAATCCAAATGTCTAAAACTTTTAAGTGCTTTTAAAAATGTTGGATGTTTTACCCGTCCTTGTTTTCATTTCCCAGGATTCTGTACCCTGAGATTCAGCCCAGACTCGCCAACCTACTCAAAAAAGGTTATAAGGTGGGAAAGAATCAACGTTTTGTTTACACAGGAAAAAAATCGATATCTAGATAAGTCATTATTTCTTAAAATAAGTGCATTTGTTCTTGGATTGAGGAAGTAAAAGAGACATTTTGCCAATGGAACAAGACAATTTACATTTAAAATAAGGAAACACAATTGCATTGTCTTATTTCAAGTGCATGTTATCTAATTATCTTATTTTAAGAGTAAAAATACTCATTCCGTTGGCAAACTATCTCATTTACCTACCGGTACTAAAAATTAAGGGTAATACACCTATTTTAAGATATTTTTACTCATTTCTAGATTGTTTTTCCAGTTTTTCGTTAGAATGAGGTCGGGGGAGTATTGTTGGATTTTTAAATGCCTTGACGTGCCTCTGCAGGTTGTTTTCTTCACCAACCAGATGGGGATCTCGAGGGGCAAACTGAGACCAGAAGTATTCAAGTCCAAAGTGGAGGACGTGCTCGCCACCCTGCAGCTGCCTGTGCAGGTTGCTCAAGTCATACACAGATTCCTCAGCATGAAGCAGCACCTGATCCCTGCCCATTCTGTGTTTTTAGGTGTTTGTAGCCAGTGGTCCTGGAGTCTACAGAAAACCAGCGGTTGGAATGTGGAATCACCTGTGTGAGAAAGTGCGTACAGGCCTTTGTAATTTACCCGCCACACCTGCTATGCAGCATTTTTTGACACTGGAGACAAAACAAACAAACAATACAATAATCTGTTGCATAATCTCTCGTATTCCTCCTCAGGCTAATGAAGGTGTAGCTGTTGACAAGACACATAGTTTTTATGTAGGGGGTAGGTGCTATTTTGACATCACTATAATAAACATGCTATTTATTTTATTCTCAACATGTAAACCTCCACTGCTAATTGAGGCTTAGTTGTTTCAGCTTAAAGGAATAGTACACCCAAAACATGATTAGCCTTCATTTTCTACTCACCCCCATGCT